GTTTGGTCGATTTTTCGATTTTTTTCCCCACCCCTACAAGAAATGCCTATTTTCACGATCATATAAAAAAATATTCAAAATTTGTTCAATGTCTATTTTTTAATAATTTATATCAAAATACCCTTGTTAAACTTTTTAATTCCACCCTAAATACAATAAATTTATAGTCTTAATAATTTCTGTTGGCCAATAGAAATTTGACACATAACCTATATTATGAATTTGAAGAAGTATGATGTCAATTCACACATTAAATGTTCACTTCTCCCTAGAATTGAGCCACGAGCTAGGTCGAGCCCCATTTTGAAGTATTGGCTCAAGCCAAAGCCACAAGGGCCTGCTCGTGTCACTAGCCATTTTCGTCCCATAATGACTCGAGAATTTAAAAAAAAAAATTGAATGAGAAGATAGCACTGCTGCCTTAACAAGCAGTTGCTGCTGCTTCCACCTACATTCAAATTTTCAAATTTACAAAAAAAAAGAGCCAAGTCGTGAGCCAAATGCTTAGGTCGAGCCTATAATTTTTGGCCTAGCAAAAGTTCGGCTCGGGCTAAAAAAGGCTCGAACCATTTTTACATGAGTCAAGTTTGAGCTTTAAATTTGAGCTCGATTTGTTGACATCTCTATCCACGGGTCACAAACTGATTCCGATTGAGAATAAAAATGACCAAAAATCCATCCAACCTAGCCGACACATGAAAATTTACCCAAACTCACATGACTCAACCCGTGCAATTGAACCAAAACTAAATCTAATACTTCTATACATTCACATGTTCTCTGTCTAAGCTTAAAAACTGAACTTCCACTTTCGCATCTTCGTATTTGATTGCCGTTGCACCTACTCCTCCATCCGCCCAAATAGTCGTCATCAGTGCCAATTGCCGTTTATAGCCGTGTATTTCCTGTAACTCTTTCCATTTCTCTTCAGTTGTCTCTTTATTGAGTTAGATTCTCACTTAATCTGGTTTCTTTATTGTTCTTTATTTTTTTATCATTGATTTACTTCAATCTGCTTCTTCCATTTTTTATAAATCTTAGTATTTTATTGGAATTAAAAAGAGTGGTCGCTATTTGTACAAGAACTATTTTCTGTATGAATCTCATAACATTTCTCATATCTGCATGTCATTAGCACAAATAAGA